TGTATTGGGGAGTTCGTGACCGCATTGTCTATTTCTTTAATTACCCCCAACTGTTCTAATTCTTTGATTGTCTCTTTGATTTCTGCCAACGCCCTTTTATTAATTGGGTACTGTCTTTGTGGCTTATGTATTCCTCCTTTTATTTCATACTCATATTCCTGTTTTAATAGGCCCACATCATTTTTGAATTTTGCGGCCCCTTTTTTATGTTTTTCCAAAATTTCCTTTACTTTCTTTTTGTCCAGAATAGTGTCTTTTACCATTCTGTCAATTTCACCCCTGAGGTCAACTATTTTCATCCATCTGACTGAGACTTCTTCATTGCTTTCTTTTACTATGGTACAGGCGTCTTTTAGCGTCATTAAATTCTCTGACTGATTAGGAATAATGGCTATGCCTTCCCATAAATACCAGTCCGAACAAACTGGACTTTGGTTTTTACTGAAGCCGTATACTCTCATCATGCCACTTTGTTTCTCTGCGCCTGCTGGCAAATCGTTAGTACAAGTTATTTCGGCTCCTGTATCAAGAATAAAGGTTCTATCCTTGTAATCTATGTAAAAGAAGCCGTCTATTTCTTTAATTTGGTCAGATTGGATAGTTGCTTTTCCTCTAGGGGTTTCCTATTGTTGTTTTCGATGCAACTCATTTGTTCTCACTGATTTTGTTCTAGCTTGGTCATTATTGTATGAGCTCTTTACAGCTGGCCTCTCTCTAGCCCTTTTCTCCCTTAGTCTGCCCTGTTGCTCCGGGGTCATCTTATCCCATTCTTCCCTCAGGACATATGATGAGCCATTTGGTTTTGATCCATTTTTGCTTAGTGATGCTTTTTGTGCCAGAGTAGATTTACCTGGCCTGCCCCGGCTTTGTGATCTACTTCTCTGCTGATAGCTATCTGTTCTAATTGGTCCCCTGTGTTCCCTGGGATTTTTTGGCTTATCAACGTATCTAGGCCCCTGTGGGGCATTACGGCCCTGCACGTTTTTGAGTCTATCTGACTTTCTAAGACCTTGCTGTCTGGTATTTGTCAATTTATTGAAACCCTGATCACTCTTTTTCTCGGCTTCCTGTTAGGACCGTCTGTCATATCTGACTGCAAATGTTTGCAATTCATCCCAATCAGTCTCTTTTCCCCACGTTTTCAAAGGGGTCAGGCCTGGTAGGTCTTTTTCAAACTTCAGTAGTTCTTTCACTGTTTGTACTGGATTTTTGCCTTTATGGGCTCTATTTTTGCAGAAAATTAGGACCCCTGTAGGATCCCTCCCTCTCTTTTAGCCCTTTCTCATACTTTTCTTTTGCAGTAGCTCCAGAAATGTTTTTCTGGTGAAGAGAAATATCGTCAATTTTTAAATCTAACCCTACCAGTTGATTAATCATAAGCTCTATATCCTCATCATGGATATTTGGCCTCTGACCCAGCTCCACTATCTTTTGGCAGCTTTTCATGTTATCTTTATGATCAAGTTTCATCCCATTGAACATGCCAATTTCAGTAGCGGTTATCGTATGCTTAGTTCTCGCCCTAGTTCTTCTCACAGGGCTTTGGTATATCTCTTCATCTGAGGAGCTAGACCCACTTGGGTCTGACTCTACCTGGGATACTTCTGGTTCCCTGTATTGGCCTCTGTTCCTCGGGGTGCTTTCTGCCATTTTCTTTTTCTTCAGAGAACAGTCGGCTAGTCTGGCTAAGTCTATGCCCAGACCCCCTCTGGGCCCTTGATCCTCATCTACCTCGTCATATTCTAGTTCCTCTTCTCTATCTTCCTCATTTACTGGTAAAGTCTCTGCTGGCATCCTCCTATTATATATTGCTTTATTTGAATCTATCAGTACTTCTTTTCTTAGTTCAAAAACGTCCCCCATAATAGGATCCCTTCCTTTCCGATTTTTATGTTCAGGAAGATGCATTCGAAGTAATAACGATAGGGCCTTTTGACAGGAGTCTTTCTATTCTGCTAGCATATCTTGCTTGGCCTTTGCACTGGTATTAGGCATGTCTAGAATTTCATCAGCAGTAGGCCCTGTTGCTGCTAGTAACATCTTCTGCAGATATTCAGGTTCCCTGTTTGAAATTCTTCTTTGTAGTCTATGTCCTGGTCTGGTTGGGGTTTTTCTTCCTGCCAGATCTATGTGCTCCCTAGCATGACTACTGCTCTTTCTTTCTTGAGATAAAGGCCGTGCCCTTTTGTGATTAACCCTATTTCTTTGTGCGATTGGTTCGTCCCAAAAATTTTCATCACTTGCTTCTCCTTCCCATTCATTTTCTTCACCCTGTCTGGGCTCATTTCCTCCTGTGCTTTCCACTGGAGCTTCTCTGCCTACACTGCCAACAGCCTGGGACAGTTCATGCATCATTCTTTCGTAAGTGGACCCTAGACTCTCATCCTGAAAATCTAATCTTCTCTGGGTACTAGGGCCTGGTCTTTCCCCATCGGAAAAATTAATTTCCGTATTCTGAGAATCTCGGCGCCTTCTCTGGGGAAGAGCTGTACCATCGTACATTACTCTTGTTCTACCATAGTATACCTCTATACTAGCATCAGCGGTTGGGTTGTATGTTACATCCATCCCTCAATCAAAATGCACTTTGATTTTATCCCCAGGCGCTCTATTGTTGTTTATGCGTTCTATGATGGCCCTTACATCTGCTGCTGCATTGCAGATAAACTCTTGGCCATTATTTATTTCGTTATCTCCTATATTCCATCCTGCCTCTCCTTCTTTGGCAGTTTTCTGTCTATGAAAATTATCACGTTTAGTTACGACGATTTGGTAGACGATCGCCGGCTGAGGGACAGGAGTTGCACTTAAGTTTGGTGGCACCTGAGCCATTTGAGTCATTTCAGTTGGAAATGCAGGCTAAGGAAAACTCTTATTTCCTTCTCTTAAGGAAATCATAAGACCCTTCACTTAAGGGATTCTTATCAGTTTTAGTCAGATACTCTTGGTTCTGCTGCGCGGTTTCTCTCGCTTTTCTCTTAATAGGGCGTCCCCTATTGTTCAGCGAGTCTGTCTAGGTCATCCAGTTGTTGATTGATCTAAATTCGCTTTTGCTCCGGGTCTATTAAATAGACAGACGAGCCCCCATGCGATGGATTTTCACGATTAATACCGTTCCGAATTATAAGACATCCGTTCAGGACATCAATATAATCCCGCGGTAACTAAAGAGCCTATCCTTTAGTCGTGTCCTCAAGAGTTAGGTGATCAGTCTATATAAATTCGTATTCTATTATAGAGATAATAGATTTCCCCTCTATATTATAAGTCTACCTTTTGCGGTACTCTTCAACCGTGTTCGCACTATAACAGTTTGTAGTACACATATCACTCTATATGTTTACATGTTATATGCTGCCTCTTTGGCTAGGCTGTTTGATCAATCAAATTCAACAGTGAATTATTCTTATCTCAAAAGAATTCTCACCCCTTGTTGTTGGTTCTCCCCAGAAAGAATCTTCTTGATTCAGTTGAAGGAAAGTGAACAGCACTCAATGATCCAAGGTCCAGTCAGATGATTATAATAAATGTAACAGAATTTATTAAAATAATCAAATGAAAAAGAAACACTTGTTACAGATCAAAATGAGTACTAACTAACAGATAGATACTAGCTAGGCTTGAAGCTTCTTGCCTCTGACAACTGCTGGGATATCAGAGTGTTGTTTGCAAGGAAGAGCGAAGTGTCCGTCTGACTCTCCTTCTTTTATAGCCAGGTTTCAACCGGTACTGGTGGTAGCTATCGGCAATTCCTTTCCGTAGATAACAGCAAATACTTTACGCAGCTAACAGCAAGCACTCTCCGCAGCTAACAGCAGTCACTTTCCGCAGATAACAGCAGTCACTTTCCGCAGATAACAGCAATCATATACGTCAGCAGGATACATTTAGCTAGCGACAGCACACCCTAATTCTCAGTATATAGGAGGTGAGATAACATAAACAGTGCATCTGGTTCTTGGAAACTGCCTCAGGCAGGGTGGGGGTCTGTGTATCCTGTGCATGATAACGGCAGTTTTGTGGGTCAAAGGTTTTTTCCTCAAACAAGTCATACATAGTTCATACATTGATCATTCTTTTCATTCGTTGTACATTTCATAGCCCAGATATTTCTTTTATTCTGATCATCTTATTTGTTTCATATTATAATGATATTATAGCGAGTGAAATGTCACACATATGGGCCATCTATATCACAATTTGAAGATTCCGTCAAAGACAGTTTTGATCCTCATTTTTAGGAAAACTGTAAGTCTGATCCGTTATAAAAGATAAAGCCGGAGTCAGGACCGAGTCTGGAGGTTTTTAGGAGGAGTTACAATTAGAACATTTAGTCTCAGAATAATAATAATAATTTCTCAATCTAACATAATGAGTTAGTCAAACACAACAGACCGTCAGAATAAACTGTTTTAAACCGACACACAGACTGTCCACCTTATTCCCAGCTCCCATGATTCCATTTCCTTGCGCGACTTCCTGTCACTGAACCGGAACCGGAGGTTTCCATGGTAACGGTCATAAACAGTCTATGCTAGCGGTGTGCTAATCCTCTTTTTAGAGAGTTTGGGAACTAAAACATGCGGGAACACGACCTGTTACACCGACAGTAGCGCCCGAGAGTAAGGAGGATAAGAGCCAATGAAATGAAGATGATCAGAAGCTGCTGAACATCACACACACACACACACTTACAGTTCTTCATCTACAGCAGAAATCTCAACAGATCTCATTGATTTATTATTATAACTTTCCCAAAGTATCAGTTTCTCTTGATGGACACAAATGTCTGAATCCCATATTTGATGTTTGTAGTTGATGCCGTTAAACGCTGATGATAAAAACGAGTGTGAAACTAATAACAGCACTGACAGTGATCAGAGGAAAATGAGTTTGATCAACAGGACGAGTGTCATAACTCATAATAATCTGTGTTGGGTTCACTGTTGATCATTATATGAAGATCAGAATAAAAGCATGTGTTGATTGTGTCTCATCAGCTCCTGTGATTCTGGATCCAAACACTGCAGATCCACGTCTCGTCCTGTCTGATGATCTGACCAGTGTGAGATACAGCGGGAGCAAACAAACTCTTCCTGATAATCCAGAGAGATTTGACGGGTATCCCTGTATTCTGGGTTCAGAGGGTTTTAACTCAGGAACACACTGTTGGGATGTGGAGATTAAAGAGTGTTCATGGTGGAGTCTTGGAGTAACTACACCATCAAACCGGAGGAAGGGAGGAGGTTTCTTCAACACTGATGTCTGGAGTGTGTCGTACGGATGGACTCCAGGTTCTAGTTTTCGTGTTAAACAGAAGCTTAATCGTGTGAGAGTGAATCTGGACTATGACGGAGGAACGGTGTCGTTCTCTGAATCTGTAACTAACACACATCTACACACATTCACAACCACCTTCACTCACACACTCTTTCCATTCTTCTGTTGTTATCTTGGCTCTGTGAGGATCTTACCGGTCAATACTCAGTAAAGTTACTCCTGTAGATCTGGATCTTCCTGCTCTTATCATGTTTCCAATATTTAACCCATATCTCATGAGTAAGAGTGCTGTAGATCTGAGTATCAGTACGGCTGCTGTGATTGGGCCGTGATGATCACATGACTGATATCCAGCACTACACACACACACACACACACTCTCATGTTGCTTTAACAGATCAATAAACAACAGTGAAGTTTGTCACTTTGCTCATTTTCACATAATTATATAATATTTTTCTTCTTCTAGAAACTGAGGCTAATTCTACACATGCACAGTTTCAATGAATTTGTAAATGAATAATTGTTTATTTCAGTTTAAATGATCGCTTGCTCACTTAAGTACACACATGTAAACGATAACCATTATAGGGCGATGAGAGGGTCTTCCCATTGGAGGAAGCGTAACAGCTAACCTGGGTCATGTGACGCTCCTCAGCCTATCAGCCCATCTCTTCTGTTTGGACTCTTTTTCCTCAACTTGTTTGTGGTGGCATTTATTATTTTATTAATGTGTACTTATGATATATCCACACTCCCTATCAAACGCTCCAACTTTCATCATCAGGTTCTCTTAGCATGGGCTCTAATTTATAAACTTAACTTTTCACCACTTTTAACTCATCTCCATACCGGCGTGAGTCCGATCTTCAACCAGACAACTGGATAATATTCTGACTGTTCCGATCCAGTCTGACCTGTGACCCGTGACCTTTGACCTCTGACCCGTGACCTCTGACCTGTGACACCTGAATCATAAACACACACCGTTGGCCAGAGGAGAACTGGGTCTGGGTTCTCTCGAGGGTTTCTCCATTCTGTCCCTGATGGAGTTTGGTTCCTCCACTGTCGCCTTGGCTTTTGGCTGCTTAGTTGGGGACATTTAATACTCAACTATATTATTGATCTGCCTTACTTCAGGTGGACGATGACGCAATATTCTTCTAGAAACAAACTTTGTTGCATTATTTTCATGTTATCACTGTGATACAATCTGTATTCAAAAGGTGAAGAAAATCATTTTCCCTCTTTGTTATATCTAAAACTCTTTTTTTCTTTTTCTTTTGGAGTTAACTTGTTCTACTTTTCAATTTGTCTTTGTCATTTTATTCACTTGGTGTGAGGGGTATACAAGAACAGACTAAAAGGAAAGCTGTATTTTTATTTTCTACAAGAAACACATGCTTTAGCTTCAGATTTTAATTTCTGGAAAAATCAGTGGGGAGACAATATCTGGATGGCTTATGGAAACAGTAAATCTGCTGGCGTCGCCATATATAAAGGGAAAAATCCTTAAAAATGTTGTTCATGATTAAGGAAAATCGGTTATTTTAGTTAATGAATTTATGTAGAATATTTTCATTATGGGTAATATATATTGTCATAATAATAGTCATAAAACACACACCTTTTTGCAGAATTTGATGAACAAATAAATGCCTTATTGAATTCCTTCATCAATGCTTAATGAATTTTTTTTGGGGGGGGGGGGGGGGGGGGGAGGGGGGGACTAGAACTGCATAAGTGACCCCATCAAAGACTGTCAACCTCAAAGATCCTTCAGAGGCACTTATGGAGAGTACAATCATATATGTATGCATTTATACTGTTGTGACATATGGAGACTAAAAATCCCCAGTTCACTTGGAGAAACGAGATTTATCTGAGAGATCCAGCATTGGCTTCTGGTTTATTTCAAACGAGTTGCTAGACAGTGTGGAAGAAACCAAGATGGAGCCCTCAGTATTTTCTGATCATAATATGATTACTTTAGTACCGTGTATAAGGGATCAATCAACAAAATATAAACCAAATTATTGGAAATTAAATAATACACTTCTGAGTGATAAAATCTTCAAAGAAAAAGCCAAAAAAAATCATAAATGAAAATTTGATAAAAGCAAAAAAACACTAAATATATGGCAAACATTGGGAGTATATACATGATTCCAGATCCTAGTATATGGCCATCAAAAGGGCAAAATAATGATCTAAGGAAAAAAGAACAAGACAAGATAGAATACTTAAAGGAACACTTCACCCATTTCAACATTAATCTTTATTGAAAGTGGGTCATATATGTAGTCGACATGTAAAAGAAATTTTGAATTTGGTGCCCTCTTGACCGAGAAAAGACAGAAAATAACTTTAGGGCGCATTTGTATGAAAGACAACAACTCCCACAATGCACCACATTGCACAGCTCCGCAAGCCACTCCCACTACTCCAGAACAGCGCAAACATCAGATAAATCACTCGTCTACAAGGCTAACGTGAGCTGCCACCAGAGTTAGAAATTCATTTCACACAAAATGTATAGTTAGTTGGCTGTGGCGAGCAGGACGAGGGACGTGAGAGCGGCGCGAGGCCGGTGGCGTGAGTGATAATGATCGACATCTGTAAGACGCACCGGTCTCTCTCGCGTCTCTCACCGAGGAGCGGACGCATAAAACGAGGAGCGACGACAGTCCAGATCGAGAGAGGAACAGGCCTGATTTTATGGTGTGTTTTGTTTCTGTTGTGTGTGGCCAGCAGTGAGGGGCTGCTGGCTTATACTTTTGTTTTGTATTTGTTTATTTTACTATTAAAATGTTTAAATGTTCGCCGATTCCCGTCTCATTCTTCCCACAACAACGAACCCCGTTACATTGGCAAACTCATTAGCGAATTACTCCTCGTTTGTATTTCTTTCTATATGGTGAATTATTGCATGATACCTGTATGTTCCAGTCAGAACAAATGCGGTGCGACACTAGGATTGTTCACATCACAACACAAACGTCCGTGTGCTCGTCTGATCCAGAGATTTCGTCCAGGAGAAATTGCGATCGTTGAAATTCTCTGCAGCAGATGGACTCTGTCCGTAGCGCACAGCGAGAGCACACGCACCAGCAGCCCGCCTCAGCTCGAGCCAGTCCGGGCTCCTCGTCCGCTTCAGTCCGCCTCAGCGCGAGCCAGTCCGGGCTCCTGTGCTCCTCCTCAGCCTCAGCTGCTCTTCACTATACTGCGGCTCGTAAAGATAGCCACGAACACCGGATTCGAGCAGCAGAATTTCAAAATCCTCTTCTTCCATATCATGTTTAGTTTCTTCCGTCATTGTCGTAACTTCCTATCTCCACAGCGCTTGTCAGCTTAGCTTCCAAACAAGATGGCTGATATTGCTTTCTGTATCTGCAAGTGAAGTCCCACCCACTGATCTGTAATAGGTCTGTAGCGTGAGTGAGTCCCACGCCCTGAATAAATGATGAGCTTGTGTTTGTAGTCTCTACACTTTTCAATGAAATGGGACTTCCTGCTTTTTATGACGCAAAATGACGATTTTTACGTCATAAAAAGCAGGAAGTAAAACACTTAAATCCTTATTTCTCCCATCTCAGGGAAAAATAAAGGAAAAATCCACGATCATTACAATATATGACTGGGTTTCTAACAATACAAAGCTTAATGCAAATGGGTGAAGTGTTCCTTTAAGGATATAATTTCTGAATCAGCGAAATCACAAGCTGACATCAATATTTTATTTAAATGGGTAGAACATGGTGAAAGGAATTCGAAATATTTTCATAATTTAGAAAAAATAAATGTTAGTGTTAACAGTATATATAAACTTAAACTGAATGATCAGATCTCTGAAGACCCCCCAAAAATGTCTAATTTTGTGGAAGAATTTTATAAAAAACTCCGAACACAACCGTTGTCAGAGCTCATGTTTCCTCTCTTGGATAAAAAGTGTGGCTCAAGATATTGATGAAACCCAGAAGGTCATTTTGTGATCAAGACATTTCCCTAGAAAAACTAAAAAAGCGTATTAGTAATAATATTTGATTAATCTTAGATTTAATTGATTATAAGGATTACATAACCAATAATAGTTACATTATAGATATGTGCAAAGCCTTTGATACTGTGAAACATGATTTTTTAATTGACGTATTCGATTTTTATGGTTTTGGTCAAAACTTTAAAAGGGCAATACAAACTTTATATAGTGACTGCAAGAGTTCAGTTCCACTTCCATGGGGAACTTCTGTAGACTCAGCATCTCCCGGGGCAAACACCAGGAGATCCGGCGGCTCGTTACTATTGCTTCTGGTCATGCAGATATATACATCATAACTGCTTTCAAGGCATCAGAATTATGGAAAAAGGAATTAAATGCTGTCAGCTTGCTGATGATGAGCTATTTTTTTAAAAGACACATTACAGATTAAAAAAGTTATATAGTGTCTCAATATATTTTCTAAAGCTTCAGGTTTATCTTTAAATGTAAAAAATGTACTCTTTTTCCACTTAAAGACAATGATATTCCTTTAACTGAATTTGAAGGTATTCCAGTTACGTTTCTTGGTATTGATATCTGTAAAAAATCAATCCGACAGAGTGCAATCCCTTATGGAGAAGATGAAACCGAGATTTGATATGTGGCTCATGAGGGATTCATCACTCAAAGGTTGAGTTTTGTCTCGTTTAGTCCATCCTGCAGAAGAGTTAATCTACCAAAATCTTTTCTTTAGTCACACTATTTAAATACAAATATTTTATGTAATTCTTATAATCAAGGACCTTTGAATGTGCTTGATTTTGGTTTTTCAAGTTGAACTGGATTAGACATTATATTAAACAGATAAACTATGGTATTTAATTCCAAATCTTATTTTTGGAAAAGTTGGTGGTATAGAGTTCCTTTTAAAATGTGACTTTGAGGTTAACAAGCTCTCATAGACAGGCTCTTGTATGTTTTATGTTCTTATATACAAACATAACCTCTCCCCCACAAACAGTTCATTTAGAATAATAAAATGGTTAAATATAAGAATAAATCAATCTTCTACGACAATTGGGTTAAACATTTTATTGTAGTGTTCTCACTACTGATAAATAACGAGGGCTACTTATTTACATACTGAATTTTTAAAGACATTTGGGATCCCAGTATCCACATTGTTTTTGCTGCAGTACCCGTCGGTCTGGAACCTCATTAGCAATCAGTGTTTAAAACAGTGTTTGTTAAACGGTGTTGATATTAAAGATAGTAAATGTAATAATACAGTTTTCAGATCCATTGCCCTGAAACACCTCGAAGTAAATCCTTTTGGAATGAACATTTTGGAAATATTAATTGGAGATTGATGCATACAATTTATCCAACAAACCAGTTCCTAAAAATATATCAAATTGAACTTTCTGAATCCTGTGTATTTTGTAAAAAGGATACTGAAACTATTAGCATTTTTTCTTTGAATGTATGCGAAATTCTTTTGGATTGATGTGGAATATTTATTTAAGTGGAATTAAAATTCACATAAAGAAAAAGGGCGTTTTTTTATTATGACAAATAAGATATAGACAAGA